AGACCAACCTTATTCCATTTTCCTTTAATTTTATTTCCAATTCATATATGCTACTCAATTCATGAGTTAAATTCGTTATCTTTCAACAACCAAAATGAGACTACAAGTCAATGATTTTCCCAATTATGCAAAACTCACATAAACACTTCAAACCTGCCATTTTACAAATATTTCGTCCGAAGGAATCGGCACCCATTTATATATAAAATTTCGAGTCTTTCACCTAGGACACTCCGGCCAACTTACTTTAAATGGAGTTCATTTCCTTTCTCTTGCCAAACAAATATACATATGCAGTGTATTTATAAACATAATCACATATGGAGTACATCCCATTTCTCCTCCCAATAAACATACATATAATGTATCTATAACATGGTCATATTCAATGACACCAACAATGGATTAGCATTAAATCGCCTAATCTTCATGTAATTTCTACAACAATCATAGCTATCCTCCACCGATAGCCCAATGCAATTATTTCCAAAGAGATGTTCAATATCAAAATAAATAGTTTATTCAAAACTTCTATATGTGAGATAATACGTATCCAATATCACTATTTATAATCACAACCTTCCAATTTCACGTTTTCAATGTTAATCCCAATTATTTATGCAAAACAATAATTAAATCAAAATTAGGGCAGAATCCCCCTTTCACTAAATATCAACCCAAACACCAAAATCAACTATTTTGGCACAGCATGATCTTATATTCAAGCTTCATACTCATTTACCTCATATTCATCAAAACCCCTCTTTTCATTTCACACCCAAATCCTAGATTTGTCTAAACCACAACCAAATCTCATCATCTATACACAATATCAAATAATTAAGCTAAAAACCATATTAGAGTGTAGAAAATTCCTACCTCAAGTTTTGAAGAGAATCTGAGATGAAACCCCAAAATCTATGGTGTCAAAACTTGATCTCCACCGCACACAATGAAGCCCTCGAGGTGATAACCAATTTTGGTGAAGAACTTAGGTCTAAATCCCAATGGATTTAGAGAAATCAAAGAGAGAAGATTATTTCTAAAGAGAGAGGCTCTAGACTTGGAAATTTGGAGAGTTTTAGAGAGAGGGAGGCTGCAAAAAGTGATCTAAAACCCTAATTTACGGACTGATATAACAAGGTCACTCGAGCGTGAAATACACTTTTCTGTAAGCAATTTCGAATGCATTTTGCATTTTTGCTTTCGGCGAGCTGACCGGGCAGCTCGACCCCCGAAGTTGACTGGGTCAAAATCGGGATTGCTGCACGTATGGCAACAAAGCACACTAATCGAGGTCATAGCAAACCATTTGGAACGGGTGAGATCTCTCGACCAAGGTCACCATAAATTGATTATAGATGGATATATCAATTCCTTTGGTGATTGACATTTCAACATTAATGGGTTCCCATTGTGGAGTTTAGAACCTCTACGGGGTTACAATTGCACCCCTTGCAAATATCCAAGCCTAGGAAAATATTTTGGAATTCCAATTTCATTGTTTGTCAAATGAGTTCAATGTGAACACCACTACTGACATTTTTTTTTAAGGTGACTAATGCACAATCGGTTGAAATACAACAACAGTACCCTAAGGTCAACAAGTCCCAAGTCAGTTAACGTTTGCAAAGTGAAATTGATCAATGACTCATCGACTCAATAGGCACTCACGCATGGAGGAGGCAAAGGCAGAATCAAAGATAAATAGATCAAACCCTGCATGTGCTATCAAGGCTATTATGGAGTATCTTACACTTGTCTCTGACCCTGAGCTTTCAAATTACTCAGACTTTGAGGCTGTTGATTTCAGCGAGAATTAAGAGTCCTTAACATGTGATAAAATATGTAAGATTCTCCATGATGGCATATTGTTACATAACAAAGTTTAAATTAAACACTATGTCGAAGTTTGCTCAAATTTCGAAGTGCGCATGAGCTGATGTTCTCACCTACCTTTCTTCAATATGGACAACAAGGCTTTCTTTTACAATTTCACAAGTTATAATTGAGAGAAAAAAGTGTGCATGAGTTGATATTCTTCTCACATATCCTTTTCCAATGTGGACAACACGGTTTTCTTTTGCAATTTCATTGAATGAAATCACAAGGTATAATTGAGAGAAAAGTGTACATGAGCTAATATTTTTTTCAATATGAACAACAAGATTTTCTTTTTGCAATTTCATTGAATGAAATTACAAGTTATAATTGAGAGAAAAAGGTTTTCTTCAATATGTTCTTCTCACCTACCCTTCTTGAATATGGACAAGAAGTGTGCATCAGCTTATGTCTCAGTTGCAACCCACATAATAAGATGGGGAAAAATGGAAGAGGAAGAAGAGCCTTCCAAAATGGATCCCCTAATTTGACGTGGCTTTGCTACGCGTTATTAATGGTGCTACCATAGGAGAAAAAACTTTATTTTAATATCTACAGGGTGCAATTACATTCTGTGCTTTTAAAAAAAAAAATTACATTATCGTCCCACTGTGATGTAACTCCCTCCTTAAAAAAATATATTACATTATCTTTCCACTGTGATGTAACTTCCCCTTTAAAGATATTACATTATCTTCTTTCATTACTTTATGTCACTACTTTACATGGTGTTTGTGTATACCTACAAATAAAGAGTCCCTTAGTACATTTAAATTTTCATTACGTCTGCTTCATATAATGACCACTAAGATCGTTGGCATCCCGTCCCTTGTACAATGGAAATACAAATGCCGTCCCTAATCAATGGAATCATTAGGATGTCATACAATTCATGGATGAAGGGATTGTTTGGATATTTCGGAGATTAAAAAAAAAATTGAAATATCGGAACTGTGAAAGGGAAAGGACATGGGAGAAACAAAGCCAAGCATGAGAGAGAAGGAGAAGTAATCTCTAGAACAACGAGAGTTCCTAGTTCTTGCCCCACTGTGGTCGTGCTGTCTTCCCCTACTGATGTGTTGTTTTTTACACTCGGTGGTCGAAACAAAACGTTGATAGAATAAATAAGGAGTTATTGTTTTACACTCGGTGGTCGAAGCAAAACGTTGATAGAATAAATAAGGAGTTTTTGTTTTTTGGTACACTCAATGGCCAAAGCAACACGTCTATAGAATAAATAAAGACTTCATTTTTTACACTCGGTGAACAGTGTGTGTCGGTTGACTGCATGACCACAATGATTGCAAGGAATGGGCACTTTGTTCTTATAGAGAATACATCATCTCCCTCACCTCTCATGTGTGACTCCGTGCCACTCCGTCATCTTTAGCTTACACACTCCTGATGCTTCAAAAAAAAAATTTGCCACAATTTCCCCATCTATTACCCTTTTAACATATCAAATATGAGTGGTAGGTGATACATTTGAGTCGAAACAGGTAAAAACATTGATAATATCTACCAATGTCTACAACATTTAAAAAGGTGTAGGCGATTCTACCTAACAACAATTTGAAAAAGGAACATCTTTGAAAAGTGACAATGGATACAAACTTTTTCAAATGCTTAGGTTCTGCAACACTTGTATCCCACACACATTACATTTGCACCCCCACACAAACTTTTCTATCCAAATCACACTCAGACTTCACTTGCACCCCTTTAATCTTTTCCATTCTCACTTTTCATTCAATCATTTCATTCAAACAATCATTTTATTTTCTCAAAAAATTTAGGTCGGCTATTATAATGTCAATATTTGACTTACACTTTACCCATTCATTCCTACTTGTGCACTTGCCTATCCAAACCACCAAGGAGTTATGTTTTCATTTCACTAGGATGACCTTGTATTTGTTCCTTTATTTAAATTGTCATGGTGTATGCATACTCAAAATGTGGAAATTGGCAACATCATTGGGTCCTTCAACACTTGCATCCCACAGACAAGGGTAACTTTTATGTTTTTGCCGTTGCTGATAAATCAGTGTACACATTACAAAAAAAATTGATATAAGTTTAGTGTTGTCGGATCAGAGAGACTAGAAAAGAATTAGGCTATGTCTAGGAAGTCCTAGGTTAAAATAGTTAATAAAAATAAAATAAGTTAAAATAACTAATAAGATAAAAAATATCACACATCCAAACTTTTGATTTTTTATCTCACAATCATTAAATTAACTTTAAAAAAAAACTAATCAGTATATTTGGTCTCAGAATTCAGTTTTTTAGAAATTGAGTTTTTTATTTTTTGTGTTTTTTTATTTTTAGTGAATAGTTTAAAATTTTAAGCATTTTTTTTTACTTTTTTAGATGCACCTTATTTAGACGTATCTAAATAGTAAAATATTTGTGAAAAAATATTTTTAAAAGTTAATAAACTCAAAAAAATATGAAAAATGTACTGAATTATTGTATTTTTATATTTTTTTGCATTTTTGATATTTAGTGAATTTTTTTAAAAAAATTCATAAGTATTATACTTTTTAAGTGTATTTATGTTAGGTGTATTTAAAAATGGGGGATGCACCAATAAATCCCAAATTAATAACTTATGCACTGTTTAGTCCTAAAAGTTTTTTTATAGACTGAAAGGTCCCATTACAATGTTTTGAACATCAGATTAATGTTTCGAACATTAGATTTCGAACATCATATTAATGTTTCGAACATTAGATTTCGAACATCAGATTAATGTTTCAAACATTAGATTGATGTGCAAATGGGACTAAATGGATCATAAGAAAACTTTTAGGACTAAATGGTTCAACTTTTCAAAAAGTAGGACTTATGGGTAAATTTTCCTTTAAAAATTTTAAAAATTACTTGAAATATTAAAAAATTCAGTAAAAATAAAAAAATAGAGAATTTCTTGAAAAATGAATTCCGAAAGCTGAAACCAATTATATTTTCAAATATAACTTTTTTAATCAAATTAAAATAATTTAAAAAACCAAAAAATTAATTAAAACAATCAAATTTCCAGCTAAGTTCGTTTGTTGCTCTAATCACAGTAAAGCGAAGTGTTGGCACCAACATCTTATGGTCATGTTACGAGGCACTGCCCCAAATGCCCTCCACACGTGTGTTTTATGTCTCTTCATTTTCTCAGCACTCCCACACACTGCGCCTTCCTCTACAAGACTCTCTCCACTAGTAGGTTTCGTATTCTGATCTCCACAACCTCCATGTCTTACAGGCCCAACTTCCAAGGCGGCCGTCGCGGCGGAGGCCCCGCCGGTCGCGGAGGTGGTGGCCGCGGTGGCGGTGGCGGTGGCGGTGGCGGACGAGGACGAGGACGAGGACGCGGCGAGCAGCGGTGGTGGGACCCTGTCTGGCGAGCCGAGCGTCTGGGCCAAAAAGCAGCTGAGGTACAAATCTCAATTGCATGATTTGTATATATTTGTGTGTGTGTGTGTGTGTGTGTGTGTGAATTTGGTTTTAATGGCGGTGCTGGTTTTGTCAGATGGAGGTTATGGATAAGAATGAGTGGTGGGGTAAAATGGAGCAGATGAAGAGAGGCGGAGAACAGGAGATGATAATCAAGCGTCATTACAGTCGAGGGGACCAGCAAATTTTGTCTGATATGGCTTACGAATTAGGGCTTTACTTGTAAGTTTGTATCAAAATTCAGATCTTTTCAATAATATAATCTTTTTTATTTTTTATTTTTATTTTTTTGGTTCTTTTATGATGTACATTTGTGATTAGATGAAACAAGTATACAAAAAGAATGAGTAAAATGAAATATTGGCAAAATCGTATTCAAAAGTTGGTATTTGGTATTAGGAATTATAAATTGGGAAAATTGCAAGTAAGTGGTATCTTCATAAAATATTTCCAAATTCATGGAAAAGTTTATAATTAATTATTAAAGTTCACTATTTTGATTTTTTTTTTTTTTTTTTCCCCTGAAAGCATACGCTGAATTGTAATTTCCCCTTTCAAATTTGTGTAAAAAATTTAGTGGCTGGGAGTCGCATGATAGGTAGCTGCCTCTGGCCTATCCCTTAGGCAAGTTCCTAGGCCCCAAAATTTTACTCTTTGATTTTTGTTTCAGAAGGTTCTAGGAGAAAAAACTTATTGTCTGAAGGTCCTTCACAATAAAAGCCCTGTCTAAACAGCTCTTTATCCAATGATCTGTAAAAAATGTCTTCATCTAAAGGCCAACAAAATCAAAAATCTTTTTGTTCATGGCTGCCAATAATAAAAGTTGAATATAACACTTATTGTTCAAATGGCCTTACAAAAAGGGTAAAACTTATTAACTAAGGGCTTGTTTGATTAACATGATTAATAGTGAAATGATTAATAATCTCATGAATTAGTGTAGGATTAGTTATCCAATTAAATTAGTGAGATAACCATTTATTATGTGTTCATTTTGTTTTTTTTTTCATTCATACTTGAAATTATGATTCTTAGCCCCTCTCAATATTAAAAATTTGTCAATTTTGTCGGATTGAATATTCACCGTACATATAATCCAGTTAATAAAATTTACAATCAAACATGTGATTGTAAGTCTATGGACTAGTAATCCCAATCCTATGCTATAATTCTTGTAATCAATATGCCCTAAAGGTTCAACAAAATAAAAACCTTCTAATACAAAGGTCCCCAGTACCAAAGGAAGTACATCCCATCTTACTATAGACCCAAAAAAACCCATCCTAATTGTTACAATACATATGTGAAGAAAATAAATGCGAGAATATTTTTTTTTTCAATATAAAATTTTAAAAATATTATTTAAATATAAAAAAGCCTCATTTGAGATTTTTCTTAAGGCTCCCAAGATTATTGTGCCGCCCCATGTTTAACTCTACTAAGACAGTTTTGCTGTCCTCTTGTGTCGATACGTAAAATGCTGTGCATGAACTTCTATTTTCAATGGGAGTGCTGATTAATCATGTGCTCTGATTTGAAGAAATAAATGCTAGAATATTTTTTTTTCAATATAAAATTTTAAAAATATTATTTAAATATAAAAAAGCCTCATTTGAGATTTTTCCTAAGGCTCCCAAGATTATTGTGCCGCCCCTATGCTTAACTCTACTAAGACAGTTCTGCTGTCCACGTGTCAATATGTAAAATGCCATGCATGAACTTCTATTTTCAAGGGGAGTGCTGATTAATCACGTGCTCTGATTTGAAGAAATAGTCTTTTAATTTAGCAACTGCAAGTAAGCTTACTTTATGATCCTACTTATCAAAAAATGGGAAAAAAGCTTTCTTTATGATTCCTTTTTCATGGTTTTGTATTTGTGGAAAGAAAGCCATGCGTATAACAAAGGGCAGACACTTGTTGTGAGCAAAGTTCCATTGCCGAATTACCGTGCAGATCTTGATGAACGTCATGGATCCACACAGAAAGAGGTGCGAATGATGCATGCCACAAAATGTTGTATTGTTGCTTAAGATTTGCATTTAGTCTTCATTTTCTACCATTTTGCAGATACGAATGTCTACAGAAATTGAGAGAAAAGTTGGGAATCTATTGGATAGCTCAAAAGGGTCAGTTTCTGTAGATAATGTCCCTGGTGCATCCTCTCAGATTGCCAAACAGTCAGTGCCCAATGTAGATATTTTACAACCAGTCTCTGTGTTGGAGATTGATACTGGCAACGAGAGACTTAGTGTTGAACTCAAAGAAAGACAAGAGAAAATGAAGGTACATAACATGATATTTCTAGCTGTTATTTATGCTGTAAAACCTGGAGCATTCGACATTAATGCAAGAGTCCTCTTGGTATCTCTAAATTAGTTATTGCTTGCAGGCCCGTGACAGCGGAAAGGCAATGCGCTCGTTCAGAGAAAGGCTGCCTGCATTCAAAGTGAAATCTGAGTTTTTAAAAGCTGTTGCCGCAAATCAGGTTGAATTTTTAATAGATGCCTGCATTTTTTGACATATTAGTGCATACTCGATCGTTGAGACTCACTCAAGTAATCAAGTTTGTCAAATTTTGTATCTAGTCAACTTTCAATTTTAGTACTTTGTGTAGTAAAAAAGGTCGTATCCAATGCAGAAGGCTCCCTGCTCTCACGAGGGGGACATGGTAGACAATCGTACCCTCATTTTTTTTTTGGGGTGTGAAAATACTTTGTGTGCTATGTGTTTTATTTTTTTGTTTTGTCATATAAGCTCAAATTCGATTTCACTGCTATGAATGAATCATTTTGCATTAAGAAAAAAAAAAACTTAAGACTAAGTAATAGGAACTTGCATTGCATTCTACAACATCATCTGGGTAGTCATCAAACATTAGTGAGAAAACTAGCCATCTGAGCAATCCCCCCATAATTCATAAATAAATGTCTTTCATCTAACAACAGTAGGAGAAATAATGAGAACAATCAAAAGAACAAGAAATAACAAAGATAGAATTATACAGAGAGGGAGAGAAACAGAGGAAATTCGAATAATTCTCAATCTTACACCAAAATAATGTAGCCGTTCAATACAACTCATCCTCATATATATGGCCCATCAGCATTATCCAATCAGGAAACAAAAATAAAACTATAATCCTAATGAAATTAAGGTTCTGTAAAAATAAATTGATGTATATTATTGATTGATTGATATCTTACAAGATTGTGGATATTCTGTATATTACAATTCCTATATATAGAGGAGAAGATGGTAGTGGAGTGTGTGATAGTGGAGGTGGTAGGTGTGGAGAAAGATAGTGGAGGTAGTAGGTGAGTGGTAAATTCTAACAGCCCCCCGCAAACTCAAGGAGGATAGAAACTAACCAACTTGAGTTTGAAGAGAGGAACAAAACAAGAAAATACATAAAAATAAAAAAAGATAGGAGACACTGTATGGTCGTGTCAGACCGTTGATGAAGACACTGAAAGGTGGTGCCATAACGTGGTAGAGGACACTGTATGGTGGTGTCAGACCGATGTAGAAGACAGTTTATGGGGTCATGTCGGACCGTTGTAGCAGACAATGTTGTGACAGTTCCACCGGTCTTTTCTTCTTGCCTCCGTCCTGGGTGGCCCTTGACGGTGTTGCCTCCGTGTTTCCCACTCCACTGGGCACGATCACTCCACCCTGCTCCTCCACTACAGCATATGGCGGACCTCC